TTGTGCTTTGTTTTTGTGTTCTCTTCACAAGGTCTTTCTTATAAAGTGAAAGGTTTTAATTTTGTGACGTCTTATTTATCCAGTTGTGTGTGTGTGTGTGTGTGAGTACTTTTAAGTGTCATGTCTAGGAAGTCATTGCTCTAGGTCTTGAAGGTTTTCTCTTATGTTATTATCTAAAACTTTTATAGTTTTATACTTTACATTTAAATCTGTGATCTGTTTTTGAATTAAGTTTTGCATAAGGTTTAAGGTTTGGTAAAGTTCATTCCTCTTTCCTTTCTTTTGTTTATGAATATCCAGTTGCTTTAGCACTATTTTTCAACTATCCACCCTTAAATTGCACTTTTGTCAAAAATCAGTTGGCCATTTTAGTGTGGGGTTACCTCTGGTTTTTCTATTCTGTTCACTTTTTAAAATTATGTTATAGCTTGGATATGAAGTATCCCCTCAGAGGCTCATATGTTGATGGTTTGGTCCCCAGCTGGTGGTGCTATTGAGAAGTAATTATATCATGAGTACACTAACTTCATCAGTGGATTAATCCATTGCTGAGTTTATAGCTGAAGGGACTATTAGGTATCAGTGCCTTATTGGAGGAAGTAGGTGGAGGCCGGGTGCTTTGAAGGACAAATCTGGTTCCCTGCCCTTTCTTGTTTGTCTCTCTCTGCCTCCTATCTGTTGTGAAGTGAGCCTGTTTTTCATCACATGTCCCCTCCCTGATGTTCTGCATCACCACATAGGCCCAGAAGCAGTGGAACCCCATGATGGACTGAAACCTATGAAACCATGAGTTTAATAACTCCCTTAAGTTCATTGTGTTGGGTACGTTGTCACAGTAACAGAAAGCTTAGTAACACAGAGTGACTATAAGTGGTTTTATATTTTTAATTCCCTTTTTCATATGCTCATTGTTAATGTATAGGAATACAATATATGTTTTTTCTTTATAGTTTTCTATAGGGATCACCTCCTTAGTGATTTTCCACTGTGCTAGCTGGGAAGGAAGGAGCCATTGCTCCCTTATGGGGAGGTTGGAGGAATGGAGGGGATGGGGGCTTATGGATGACATCTTTACTACTGAGTGGTAGTATTAGTCCTAACTCTCTACCAGGCCTCCTGTGGCAGCACCTCAGCAAGGAGAGAAAGGGGTGCCTCATCAGTACTAGGTGGGCTAAAGTCCAGGCTCCCCATATCCTCTCCTCTGATACCATGGTGGTGGTGGGAAGGCAGTCCTGGCTCTCTACCTGGCTTTGTTTGCTACTACCTGGTATAAAGAAAAAAAGTATAGCTTGGTTTCAGCCTGACAGGGTTAAAAACTAGGCTTTCCACTTGACCTTTGCTGGTGGGGGTGGGGATAAAAATGGAGCCATGTTTTTATTCTGTGGTGTTTGGCTGGAGTAGAGTGGTGATTGTCTGGAAGGTTTTTGTCTTGCTAGGCTGCCTTTTTTCAGGTCCTTTGGCTAGAGATAAGAGGCTTTTCTTGGAGCTCTTTTTGTCTGTACCTGGGTTTTCTGGGTTGCTGGTTTTTTATTACCCAATCTGATATATATGTGGGGAAACAAATTAATAAACAACTAAAAATGCCCAAGAGAATTCACTATTATTTGTTCCTCAAGTCCCAAAGTGCAGTCAGTGTACTTTCCTATCTTTCAGAATTGTCTTAAGTTTTATGTTTATTTTATATAAAATCTCCACGGAGTAATAGGGAAAAGTTTCTCTACTCCATGTTCCTACTAACAGAAAAATGCCTTTTTTTTTTTTGTGGTATTGGGTCTTGAACTCAGGGCCTGTGCTTGCTGGATAGGTACTCTACCACTTGAGCTACTCTTCCAGTCTTTTTTTATTTTTTAAATGAACCATCAGAAAGTTAACAGTGCAAAAGCATATGCATAGTGAAAATTACTCGAAGGTTGTTCTCCCTCTTTCTGTTCCTCTACATTTTAGAAGCAGTTTCCATCAGTCATGTGCCAGTACTTTTCATTCTGGCTTCAACCTTCTTGATCTGTTTTATACTCTTCTGACAATTATTCTTTCTAAAACACTGTAACTGTGTTATTCTCTTGCTCAGAAATCTCTTGTGGTTCTTCTGTTCTCTAGTTTGACAGTTAATGGTTTCTGTGATCAGGCCCCAATTTATACTTTCTCCTCTTTATCCTGATACTCCCTTTTGAATACTAATGGTCCTCTATTGTTTCCTACCTTTATACACTTTTGCTTATGCAATTTCCTTAGTGTATTTTTATTTCTCCAACTCTATCTACATTGTTTCATCTTTACTTTGAGGCTCAGCTCAAATATTTCTAAGAACTGTTATCTTGCTCTGTTCTCACAAACTTTTTCCAACTCCTTAATTTTTCCAGTTTTTTTAATAAGTTACATAAATACCACTTTAATAGTGTTGTTTCGAGGATTGCGTGAACTAATTATGTAAAGATCTAGCAACTAGAATTCCTTTTCCTTTTTAAAAAATAACTCTGTAACATCCCTTTTTAGAGGGATATGTAAATCCATTGAGGACAGGATCTGTTTTGGATTCATCTAGTACATGCCTCATTGCCTACTGCAATATTTTTCACGTAGTATGTGCACAGTAAATATTTAGTAGGTAAATAAAGATTACATATGAAGACATCTTAAAACTGTCTGTATCCCTAGTTCTCAGTTTCTAGCACTCTAAAAAGCAGGCACTTAGTATATGCAAAATTGTGACTGAAGAATGCAATATGTGTGACTCAAAAAGTTATCATTATTAGGCAGTCTCATTGTTATGAGAAAGATGTGATCCCTTCTATTTCTCTTAGTTCTTATGTGGGATCTTTGGCTGCATGGAGAACACAACTAATCCAAGAGCTGATTAACAGTAGTAAAGCATGAAAGTTTTATTACCTTTACATGTCCCCAAGGATTGTCACAAGCTTGAAGTCTGAAGAAGTGACCAAAACATAATGATTTTATATTTTTTTAGAGGAAGAACAATAAATTCTAATTTGGAGGCTACTTAAAAAGCTAAACATTGATCTACCATATGATCCAGCAATACCACTCTTGGGGATATACCCAAAAGAATGTGACACAGGTTTCTCCAGAGGCACCTGCACACCCATGTTTATTGCAGCACTAGTCACAATAGCCAAGTTATGGAAACAGCCAAGATGCCCCACTACTGATGAATGGATTAAGCAAATGTGGTATTTATACACAATGAAATTTTATGCAGCCATGAAGAAGAATGAAGTGTTATCATTCGCTGGTAAATGGATGGAATTGGAGAACATCATTCTGAGTGAGGTTAGCCTGGCCCAAAAGACCAAAAATTATATGTTCTCCCTCATATGTGGACATTAGATCAAGGGCAAACACAACAAGGGTTTGGGCTTTGATCCCATGATAAAACAAGAGTACACAAGGGAGGTATGAGGATAGGTAAGACACCCAAAAAACTAGATAGCATTTGTTGCCCTCAATGCAGAGAAACTAAAGCAGCTACTTTAAAGCAACTGAGGCCAATAGGAGAAGGGGACCAGGAACTAGAGAAAAGGTTAGTTCAAGAAGAATTAACTTAGAAGGTAAAACACATGTACAGGAAATCAATGCGAGTCAACTCCCTGTATAGCTATCCTTATCTCAACTAGCAAAAACCCTTGTTCCTTCCTATTATTGCTTATACTCTCTGTTCAACAAAATTAGAGATAAAGGCAAAATAGTTTCTGCCAGGTAACGAGGGGGAAGGGGGAGAGAGGGAGGGGGCGAGGAGGGTAAGGGAGGGGGTGGGGAAAGGGGGGAGAAATGACCCAAACATTGTATGCACATATGAATAAAATAAAAATTAAAAAAAAATTCATGAAGGAATGATCAGACAAAGGGATGTGTGGACTAAGGTAGTAAATTCTAGAACTGTTACTAAGATATATATGGGGGAGTGGAAGCTAGTGGAAAATCAGGGTCAGTTCAGAGTTTGTTTACTCAGGTTCTTTGAATGCCCATTACCATTTTTGATGATCAAGACTATTTTCCAACCTTGGAAGGTAAGGACATCCCTCTCACAAGAATCTTTGTGGCTTGCTGCATGTAGAAAAAGAAAAAAAAAAAAAAGAAGAAGAAGAAAAAAAAAGATACTACAGTTCTTCAAGTGTTTTCAATTTGAAAAATAATATACTAATATTTTTGAAATGGCACATCTTTAACTCCTTCAATTCTATTCATGTAAAATATGAAAACAGACATGATACATGCTTTTGTGGTAAAACTATTTAAAAATATTACAAAGATGAGTTTGTGGTTATTAGGTGGAGAGAAGGACTTCTTTTTTATTGTGCTGGGAGAAGGTATGTTGTGGCATTTATAAAAGTTCTCACAATATATCAAATATATCATACTTGAATTCACCCCCTCCACCACTGAAAAGGATATTACTGATTAGGAGTTGTGCACAGCGATGCTGGGCTGGTAACCTGGTGGTAGTTACAAAGCTTGAGGGAAGTGAATAGGTGCAAGCCTGACATGGAAAGATTTGCTTTTTTATTTCACTGTTTATATTGAGTTATTAATGCATGCATATGGCTGGTTTTGGTATCTAAGTAGTTAGCACAAGTTTCAGACAAACACTGAAGAGAGTATATATATATATATATATACTTATCTGCAAAAAAGTCTCTTAACAAAAGAAGTCCTATTTTCCTTCTTCCTTCATGTTTCCTTTCTGGAGGAAATTTCTTTTTCTTTTTTTTTTTCCTGGTGCTGAGGACCAAACCCAGGGCCCTGTGCATCCTGTGCATGCTGGACAAGTGCTCTGTCACTGACCACATCCCCAGCGGTATTTCCTTTTGCGTTACTAATCACCTAAAAAGCATCTGGCTCTTGTTTCCAGAGTGCTTTTTTCAAGATAATTTATTTTATCCTCTTTCATCTTCTTTAATGTTAAAATGTTCAGTCTCATTTGACATCTTCTGATTTGAATTTGTTATCTATGGTAGAGAAACAAATTTTATAGTCTTACAGATAATAAGAAATGATTTATTTATATAACCTTAGGTATATAGTAAGTAAAGGTTAAAGCCATTTAATGTTTTAAGAAACACTGCTAAAACCATTAGAGGGTTACATAAATCCTTATTGTTGGAGATGTGTGTTTAGTTGTGATCTTAACTCTCAGACATCACAGGGTAGTAGTTAAGAGTAAATAAACAACTAGGCAAATCCAGAATGTAGATTATTCTACAGAAGAATTGTACCAAACTTAACCCTTGCTGCTGTCCCTGCCCCTCACCAAGAGATGGGGAACTGTTTTGTATTAAAGGAGACTAAAAAGATGGGATAATTCAATATGATTCATGAACCTAAGTTAAATCCTAATTTGGGAAGGAAAACAGATGTAAAAGGCCCATATGGGTGATACTGTGGTTAACTTTCTTTGGTATGGTTATAGTTTTTGTGCACTTATAGAAAATAGGGTTTTTTTTCTTTCTTTTTTGACAAGATCTCACTATATAGACTGGCCAGCCTGGCCCAAGCTGGCCTCAAATTTGTAGTCCTCTTGCCTCTGCCTCCCAAGTGCTTGGGATTACATATGTGTGCCACCAGCCTTCCAGAAGTTGGCCTTATTATAATATGCATGCTGAAGTATTTATGATGAATACTTCAGATGAAGTATGTCTTCATCTTAAATGATTCAGCTGTGTTATGTGTACGTGCACGTGTGTGTATAAACCAAATGTGGCAAAATGTTCAAACCCTGAATTTGAATCCTGGCATTGCCAATTTCAAGTAGGACCTTGGTCACTTTACTTACAATTTCTGACCCATTATTGTTTCATCTGTAGTAATGTCTAACTTGTAAGACTGTTGTGAGTATTGAATAAGATCATAGGATGATACAGGTAGTCTCAGACGGAATAGTAGTCTCAGTGTGAACATCAACAAATATGACTGCTGCTGCTGTTATTACTATTCTGTATTCATCTTGTTGTCTGATGCTTGGAAGACTCAAGAATGAAAAACACAAAACAGAAGACCAGGCAAGGAGAGCTCTCCAAGCTACTAAGGAAGATGAGCAGAAATAAGAATAATAACATTATTATTATTATTAAATGAGATCACATATGTGCTTAACCTTGCACACTGTCTAACTTGTAGTAGATGTTCATAAATGTTAGTTTTTGTTATTCCTCTTTCCTTCCTCATTTTACAAATATGAAGATTTTTTTTTGTCATTTTTTAAAATATAACATTTATTGCTTAGATGGTTTGATACAGAACAGCTTTCTTTTCATTCTGAATTTGGAAGTTCTATACAACTGAATACAAAGAGGAACAAAAAGTACCAAAACCGAACTTGTGTTTCTCTGTTCATGTGGCATAAACCAGTTTTGTACATAACATGTAGCACCAGTTTTTAAGTTCCCTTTAGAAAAATATGAATTCTGCACATTTATTGTTGTTTTCTGTTTAATGCATGGGCTGAAATCACTGGGATCAACTTCCTTCTTGAAGAGAGGAGAGGAAAGAGACGAAGGTGGGACGAATTTGTCTGAAGCTGGCATCTGACTCTTGGGAGCTTCCCTGGAGCTGTTTGGAAAACAGCCCGAGAGGGTTTCTGTTTTGTTTCACAGCCAGTCGTTTAATGTAGTGATTGACTCTCAGCATTGTGTCCATTAACAAAGAGAAAAAATAAAAAGAAAAAACTTGCACCTCAAAAAACTTTTCAGAAGATCCACATATATATATATAAATACACATATATATATATATATATATATATACGTATATATATATATACTTTTTTTTTTGTAAAAGCCCTGAGAGAAGGAGAAAGAGAATCAAACAAAATGTCAAATATGAAGCTATTGAGGTGCTAAGTTTAGATTATTTTTAAGTCACCTGGAGTTTGAAATTAAACTTCAAGAATTTTAAATTCAGTGCTCTCTCCACTACATCATGCTGCTATGCCTTGGAGCTAAAGAAATCAAAGCTTCTAAATCCTACCAAGGATTTATACTTTTTAAAAAAAGTATTATAGAATTTTAAAAACATTCTTAGCATATTTTAAAGACTTCTTTATTTCTTTATTCTTGTAATGATCAGAAATTTATATAAATTTAATCGGTTGTTTATAACCAAAATTCTGTTTTCTGGACTTTATATTTTTGTATTATATATGGTACTCTACACTTTTAATTATTTGGAATGTACTTTTATTTACTTGTCAGTATTAAGGTTTGAACTCAGGGTCTTGCACTTGCTAGTACTTGAGCCATACCTTAGCCTTTTTAGCTTTAGTTTCTTTTTTTTTTTTTGGTGGGACTAGGGTTTGAACTCAGGGCTTTCCATTTGCAAAGGAGGTGCTATATTGCTCTAGCCACACCTCCAGTCCATTTTTACTCTGGTTATTTTTTGGAGTTGGGGTCTAGAGAACTGTCTGCCCAGGCTGGCCTTGAACCGCAGTTCTCCTGTTCTCAGCCTCCCAACTACCTAGGATTATAAGCATGAGCCACTGGCGCCTGGTGCTTTAGTTTATTTTTCAGATAGGGTTTCACTTTTGTCCTGTGCTGGCCTCTAACCAAGATCCTCCTACTTAGGCCTCCCATTTAGCTGGGAGTGTAAAGGTATACCACCGCATTTGGCTTGTTTTTGAGATAGGTCTTACTAACCTTTTTGCCTATGCTTGATCTGTGATCCTCCTTTGTTTGCCTCCCATGTAACAGGGATTGTAGGTATGTGCCACCATACCCAGCCTGATGTACTTTTAAAAATATAAAATCACCTATAATTTTTCTTCATATTTCATATCAGCAGCCAATCCTAGAGTGTGTTTTTCTTTTCAGGCAGTTCTGTGTATATGCTTAAGCTATATTCACGTGTATTATGTAAATAATATAGGAAAGACAGAAACATGAAATCAATATATAATGGATGAAATAAAATACGTGCAAAGATACCTTAAAGACTAAAGTTATCCTTGCTAGAGGGAGAACAGAACAATTAGATTGGAAGATCTTATACAGTACCTAGCAACCTTCACTATGCATTCAAAACACTTAGATTGCTTTCTTATGGTTTAGTTATTTTAATTCAGTTGTCTTGGGGTAAAGCATGAACATCACCATGGGTACATTTTTATTATTTATTTGGGGGCACTCAGGGCCTCAAACTTGCTAGGCAGGTGCTCTACTACTTGAGCCACTCAGCCAGCCCTTTTTTGTGATGGGTTTTTTCGAGATAGGGTCTTTTGAACTGTTTGCCTGGGGCTGGCTTGGAACCATGATCCTCCTGATCTCTGCTGCCAAAGTGGCTAGACTTATAGGCATGATCTACTGGCACCCCGTTCCAAGTATGTTTTTAAATTTCAGTTTATTCTAATTTGTAGGCAGGGTTGATACCACTGTATTTACATTGTTTTCTGGAGCTTAAACAAAGGAGGGGTTAAAGAGAATTGGTTTTTTATATTCTTCCCTGCCTGAGAGACAAATTGAGACAGAGAGACACTGACTGAAACAGAGATGCCAACAACCTTTTCTAGGCAGTACTTGCTGTGTTGTTACTGACAGATTACCTATGTTAGGTTTCCTAAGAGTATGGATTAGATTTACTTAAGATGATCTGCTTTTCTTTCCTCTAATTACTCTACACATAGCATTCTGATTATTAGTTTTCTAAATACTTCAAAATTATAAGACACTAGAGTATGTAGAATTAGTACTATAGTTTATTCATCATCACCTTGTGATTTTGCTCTTAGTTTCTCTTGGTTTAGTCAACTCTTTGACAAGATCAAGTTTTGAACCTATGACTCCTGGTGAATTTATGAAATTTGTGACCCTTTGTTATCTCTTGGCTGTTGGCTTTTTCTTTTGAGATAGGCACTCATTATATAGCCTAAGTTGGCCTTAAACTCATGATCTTTCTGCCTTAGCCTCCCAAATGCTGGAATTAATGACGTGTGCTACCACTCCTGGAAACATTGTACATTTATTGGTATAAAATTGTTTGATGGCGCTGGGTATGGTAGTACATGTCTGTAATCCCAGCTACTCAGGAGATAGAAATTGAAAGGATTGTGGTTTGGGGCCAGCCCAGGCAAAAAGTTAGTGAGACTCCATTTCAATCAACAAACTGCATGTAGTGATATACAGCTGTAATACCAGTTACTGGGAGGCATAGGTAGGAGGATTGCAGTCTGAGGTCAGCCCCAGGCAAAACACTAGACCCTAGCAAGCATGAGACTGAGTTTAAATCCCAGTACTCTCCCCCACCAGCCCCCATATACAATAAGACTTGTCTGAAATGGGCTGGGGAATGCAGCTCAGGGGTAGAGCACTTGCTTACCATGTGAAAGGCCCTGGTTCCATCCCCAGCACCAAGGTAATAACAAAACCAATTATCTGAAACACTGAACAACTTATCTTAAAGTGTGTGTGTGTGTGTGTGTGTGTGTGTGTGTGTGTGTGTGTGTTACTGTGGCTTGAACTCAGGACTTTGCGCTTGCTAGAGGCAGGCGCTCTGTCTCTCGAGCCATGCCTCCAGCCCCTATCATAAAGTTTTGTAGTAAAAGATACAAATAAAAGGAAATTTATTTCAAAATTTGTCTTGCTCTGAGAATGAAATGAAATAGCCGTCTAAAAGCAACTTTTTCACCTTGTTTTGTTTTTAAAGATCCAGTTTGGAAGGGCTTTGGGTAATTAAGTGATCAAATTATTCTGATTGCTGCCTCTTTTATTTAATAATTACTATTGCTATCCATTTATCAAATGATTATTGAAAATTATTATGTGCTAATCTTACAGGCTTTAGTAATTTTCTTGGGAATGCCTACCATCATCCCAAAAAATGAAACAAAATAACAAATAAAAATTCACTAAGTTCTCTCTCTTGTTGCCTCCCTCCCTCCCTTTTTCCTTTTTATTTATTTTTCCCCCCTTCCTTTTCTTTGATTTATAGTGTGATGTTTATTATTTATTTAATTATTTTTGGATGGTACTGGGGTTTGAACTTGGCCTCATGCTTGCTAGGCAAAACTCTACCATTTGAACCATGCACCCAAATCTTTTTTACTTTATTTTTTTCAGGTAGAGTCTCATGCTTTGCCTGGGGCCAGCATTGGATGGTGATTCTCCTACCCATACCTCCCAGTAGCTGTTATTACAGTGGTACACCACTACGCCTAGCCTGTTGGTTCATATGGATCTCAATAACTTTTTGCTGGGATTGGCCTCAAATCACAGTCCTTCTGATCTCCACCTCTCAAGTGGCTGAGATTAGAGGTGTGCACTACCAGGTCCTGCTTGTACTTTCTTATTGTTGATACTATTGAATCTACTAGATGAAGTAGCCAGATCAGAGCCTTTGTTTTGTTTAAATTAATGGGACATTTTACCCCTCAAGTCATTTTCCACTGATACTAAGTGCTAGGCAGAAAAAAAATTAGTGTACAGCTTATTGAAAGAAAACATGTAGTGCTACAAAGAATGCAGTAGTATAAGGGAAGAAAAAAAACCATATCCTTAGTTTCCTAGGTAACAACATAAACTTGCTTTGCCTTACCTAGATTTGAGCCAGAATGTGAATCATATATCAGAGTTTGAAGCTTCTTAATTTTGGGTATTTCACTTGCTCTGAAAAATGGCAGGTCAAAGGACTAAAGGGTTTATGTTGGTATATCCCATCAGAGTTCAGTTGCAGGAGACAGCAGCTACCCTAGGCTCTGGGCTAGGCTGCTAATAATGACTTCTAGAACACAATTTGAACTGCCCTGTAAAGGAGTGCTACCTTAGCCATAGTGAGAAAGTTGGTAATAGGAGACCAGCATGGAACTATTGAGTTAGAGAACATACCATCTCAGCACCAGAAAAAACAGATTAAAAAATGGGCAAAGGACTTCACTAGGCATTTCTTCAGAGAATATGTGCCAGGCATGGTGGTGCATGTCTATAATCTGGGCACTTGGGAGCTTGAGGCAGGAGGGATCATGAGTTCAAGGACATCCATCCTGGGCTACATAGTAAATTCCAGGTTAGCCAGAGCAAGACCCCGTCTCAAAAAACTAAGACTGGAGATGTAGCACAGTGACACAGTGTTTGTATATTGTATAACATGCACACCCCCTGGGTTCATCCCACTCCCCCAAAGACAAATGTGCAGTAAGCATATCAAAAGATGTTCAACACCGGTAATCATTAGGGAAATCAAATCAAAGCCACAGTGTTATCTGGGTGTGGTGGCAGGTGCCTGTCATCCCAAGCCACTCAAAAGGATCACAGACTTCCAGACCAACCTGGGCAAAAAGTTTTTGAGATTCCCATCTCAATGGAAAAAAGATGAGCATGGTGGTGCATACCTGTCACCCCAGCTACAGCAGGAAGCATAAAATAGGAGGGTCTTCGTCCAGGCTGGCCTGGGCAAAAAGTGAGACCCTAGGTCCAAAATAACCAGAGCAAAAAGGGCTAGAGGCATGACTGAAGCTGTAAACTACCTGCCTAGCAAGTGTGAAACCCTGAGTTCAAACCCCAGTACTGCCCCCCACCCAAAGTGTTACTACACACACACTTATTAGAATTACTGTTATTAAAAACAGAAACAAAACAAAACCCCAGACCAAACATGCTTATTGGTGTGAATGTAGAGAAATTAGAAGATAGTAAATCAAATTACCAATTTCACTTCTGGGTCTGTACCCAAAAGAAACAAAAGCAAGGACTTGCACAGGTATTTGCAACTCCATATTAAGAGGTGCATTATTCATAGTAACCAAAAGGTAACAGCAACCCAAGTGTCCATTAGTAGATGAATGAATGAACAAATACGATATACACACAGTGAAATATTTTTTAGCCTTAAAAAGGAAGGAAGTTCTGACATGTTACAACAAGGATGAGCCTTAAAGACATTATGCTAAGTGGAATATGTCAGACAGAAAAGAACAAATAATATATGAGTCTACTTATATGAAATATCTGGAATAGGTAAAATTCATGGCAATACAAAGTAGGTTAGAGGATACCAGGGGCTGGGGTTGAGAGATTATTTCTTAATGAGCACAGAATTTCTGTTTGAGGTGATGTCAGAGCTCCAGAGATGGATGGTGGTGTTGATGGTTTCAAACACTTAAAAGTGGTTGAAATGAAAGTGTATGCTATGTACAGCTTACCACATAGAATAAAGAACATATCATATCTCTGTAGCAGGTATTAGGAAGCCAACTGCAGCTAGTTCCTGACATTCACAAAGTTAGTGACTAAAAACTGGTCATACACACAAAAATAACATTTTCCTACTCTTCCTTTTGAATAACCAAAACTTTAGGAACATGGTCCCTACTTCACCTTTTGCTTTCCACATCTCATCAGAGCTTCTTGTTGGCTGAACCTAATTCATATTTAGAACCCTAGTTACCAGGGATCCTGGTGAATAATTTTTAGCTTCTCAGGTTCCATGGAAGGAGAAAACTAGAGATAGATTGGTGAGCATGCTGAGCACCACTTCGTTTCTCTTCCCCAGATACTGAGTCAGTGGTGACTCATAGATGTAATGCTCCTTGTAGTGAAGTTCCTCTTTCCCATGGTGACCAGCTTGTCCTGCAGCTGGTCAATCACAGAGGTAAGTGGGGCAAAATGGATAGTCTCAACAAGGCACAAGAGGGACCAGGTTTGTTGTTAGTCATTTTCTCCTTTTGCAGTATAGGCCGATTGGGTTTAGTTTGTCAAGCTTATCAGTTTTAATATGGTAGAACCCAACTGACATATTTATATTGTTGTGAACAGATTTAGGTCAACTAATGAAACATGGTCAAGAGTCATTGGTTAAAGAGTAGTTATGCTAAGGTTCAGGAATACCAGATTGAAACTTTTGCTTATGCTTTTTTCATTTCATTAAGTATGTGTATAAGAATGTCATAGAAAATATGTTGAACTCTTGCTCTTAGGCTGCTGAAATCTCTAATTAATAGGAGCTAAATTTGTTTGGTGAGAAAAGAAACGAATTTAAGAGTCGATTCGAGGCTGGGATCATAGCTCTGTGGTCAAGGGTTTGCCTGGCGTGTCAAGGCCCTGGATTCAACCTCTAGCACTGCTGGGAAGGAGAAAAGAAAGGAGTTACCTCAAAATTTAAGAGTGGTCAAAACTTTTTTTTCCCACAGTTTTCAATATTTTGTAACCAGTGTCCACCCAAAAGATAAGGTATCTTTTATTGCACATTACACAGGATGGTCACCTGCTTTTGTTTATGTTATCTATAGTTTGGAACAAAGTTTGACTAATGCCTACTGGTAGTCAGATTCTGCAGGAGTAGGCTGTTTTTTCAGTTTTGCTAATACAGTACGGACCTTTGATGCTTAAGTACTTTTTGTTTTTTTTGATGGGCCTGGGATTTGAACTCAGCACTTCATGCTTACAAAGGAGGTGCTCTACTTCTTGAGCCACTCCTCCAGCCCAAGTACCTTCTACTAGCTCATGATTTCAGAATATATTTTTAGGTTTCATCTCAAATTGAAAATTCCTTTATATATAGCATTTAGGACTGGGGATGTACCTTTGTGGTAGGGCCCTTGCCTAGCACATGCAAGGCTGGGTTCCATCTCCAGCACTATCAAAAACAAAACAACAAATTTTCCTCAACTACCCACCCCTCTTCAAACAAGTACCAGGCTTTGCATTCAAGTACTTAAGCTTTTGCTTAAGTGTTAGATCATAGATCAGGTTTTAGTAATGTAACTAAATTAGTGCTTAAATAACAGCTTAGTTTCTTTGATAGTTATTCTACTTGTAGAATCTAAAGTAGGGCAATGTAGGGCTATTTGTCACAGTAATAAGATTGTGAACAATCGCTAACAATAAGGAGATTTACAAATTATTATATAGTACTACACTGAAATGTTACAAACTATATTTTTGAAGGATTTAATATTAAAAATGACTCATGCAGTAATGTTAGGTAAAATGATACAGAATTATGATTTCTCTAGAAAATTTTGTGTGTGAGAGAAATATAACATTATAAGCAGTCATTCTCTAGGTAATAATTTTTACACCGTTTTAAAATGGTTTTGTGATGAATGTATTGCTTCTGAGTATTTCTGTCTTCTTACTGTAGAAATACATTGTTACAAAAGATTGAAACAGTGGAGGGGAGACAGGAGTATGGAAATTTCAAATCCAGCCTGGGCTACATAGTGGTTTCCTGTCTCAAAAAAATAAAACAGACAACAAACAAAGATCCAAACAGTACAAAAATTTGTGGATTAAAAAACATAAAATCTTTCTTCAGTCTGCATAGAATGATAAAGGCCAGTATAACAATTTGTTCTTTTATATTTTTTTGGTCATACTAAGGTTTGGACTCAGGGAATTCCATCTTGTTAGTCAGGCGCTCTACCACTTGAGCCACACCTTCAGCCCATCAGTTTATCAGTTTGTTCCTTTATGAGTTTTGCTTTTGGTGTCATATCTAGAGATGTTCATGTAACTCAAGGTCAGAAAGATTTCTGCTGTGTTGTCTCTCCCCTCCCCTCCCCTCCCCTCCCCTCCCCTCCTCCCCTCCCCTCCCCTCCCCTCCCCTCCCCTCCTCCCCTCCCTCCCCTCCCCTCCCCTCCTCTCCCCTCCCCTCCCCTCCCCTCCTCTCCCCTCCCCTCCCATCCTTCCCTCCTTCCCTTTTTGACAGGGTCTTATTAGGTAGCCCAGGCTGTCTTTGAACTGGAAATCCTACTGCCTTAGCCTCCTGAGATGATAGGAATGTACCACCATGCACAGCTCTTCTATGTTTTCTTTCTTTTTTGGGGAGGAGAGGGGTACTGCGGTTTGAACTTAGGACTGTGACTACTTCTGTTTTCTTCTAGGAATTTTGTAGTTTCAGGTTTTGCATTAGATATATGATTCATTTTGATTTAATGTTTATATGTGGTGGGAGATATAAATTGATGTTTTATTCATACAGATTCTAGCACCATTTGAAAATAAAACAAGACTCATCATTTGGAAAAAAAAAAAAGAAAGAAAAAAATCCTGTCCTTTGTTCACTGAATTGCGTTTGCACATTTGTAGAACGTCAGGGATATCTGTGGGTCTTTTCCTAGCGTCTTCATTCTGTTCCACTGATTTATCTTTATGGCAGTACCACTTTGTCTCCCCTCTCCCTCCCTCCCCACCACCCCGTAGTACTGGGATTTGAACTCAGCCTAAAGCTTGCTAGGCACTCAACCACTTAGCAGGTAGGTCCTCAGCCCTTTTTTGCTTTAGTTATTTTTCAGGTAGGGGAGGGTCTCATGTTTTTGCCCAGGGCTGGCCT